ATTGTATTGCACGAAAATATGAAGAAAATCAAAATTTTATTTATTAAAATTTTATTAAATATTAAATTATTATAATATAATTTAAAATTAAATTTGGTCAGAAAGGGACATGGGCTTTATGGAGGGATAGAAAAAAGGGAAAATTACAACAAATATCCAATTAAGTAATCCAGAAACAGGATTCACATGCAAAATGGAAGTTACGAGTCAAAAAAAAAAAAGTTCACATATTCCAAAATTGGAGGATAGGGACTGCTTAAAGAAACTTAAGATATTATAAAATTTTTCCCAGTGATGTGACTATTAATGAGAATTCTTGTTTATTCGAAAAACACTCTAATGAAATATACATGCTTGTAGGAGCAGATTATGCCGGAAAACTCATTACAGGAGAAATAAAACAAGTTACGGAGAGTTTAGTCATATATGTGGTTAAGCCATATATGTGGATAACTGCGTAGCGAGCGTAGAATCAGTTGAAGAATTGAACTCATTTATCAAGGGATCTAGAGAAATAATGGCTACAGCAAAATTTGACCTAAGAGGTTGAAAACATAATAGACCTAAAAATGAAATTTCAATTCTAAGCCTTTCTGATAAAGATTATGAAGATGTTGTGTCAGTATTGGGATTGAAATGGGACTTGTTTGACAATAGTTAGTATTGTAACGTAAAATATGAAGAAAACCCTGTATTGAGCAAAAGATCTGTTCTTTCCGAATTGAGTAAAATCTTTGACCCAATTGGGTTTACTAGTCCAGTTACTCTCATGCCTAAACTGATTCTGCAAGAGTGCTGGAAACAGAAAATTAACTGGGATACTAATCTGCCGAATGATCTAGCAAGGAAATTTTTCACATGGTCATCTCAGTTAAAATATTTGAAAGACATCAAAATTCCTTACTGCTTCCCAAAATAGACAAAAGTACCACTCTGCATGTATTTTCGGACGCAAGCAAGGACGCGTATGCGACCTGCATTTTCCTTAGACACAGCGGTGAGAGTGGAGTCACTTGTCAATTGATACAATCTAAAGCGAGAGTTGCTCCCCTAAAAGCACTCACCATACCTCGACTAGAGATACTCGCTTGCACTATTGGAGCCAGGCTCTCTCATACAATAAGAGAAGACTTGAAACTAAAAGAGGTTCCAGTTTTTTACTGGACGGATTCCACAAATGCTCTCTTTTGGATAAAACAGAAAGAAAATTGGTCCACTTTTGTAGCCAATCGAGTAAATGAGATTCGAAAATTGAGTAACCCAGATCACTGGCATCACATTCCCGGAAAGTTTAATCCTTCGGATTTGCCATCACGCGGTTGCTCTGCAAAAGAATTGAGGAAATCCGAATGGTGGAAAGGACCAGATTGGATTTATCGACCTCCAGAAGAGTGGCCTATTGCAGATGGAGAACATCCTGACTTCGATATAGTAAATGGAGAGAGAAAACGAACTGTGGTTTCAGCCAGCAATAACACGAATACAGATAAATTTAACTTTTTTGACAATATTTCAAAATTCGAAAAGATCATAAAGGTCGTATCTTGGATCTTTAGATTCATTAAAAATGCTACAACACCACCATCTGAAAGAACTCATGGGAGAATTTCAGTCGAAGAAACTAAAAGGAGCTGAAACAGTGGTTTTCCGACTCATCCAACGAGAATCTTTCGAAGGATTGAAAGATAAAGAATAAGAATACGTGCTCTAGAACCTATCATGGACTCCAATGGCCTTATAAAAGTGAAGACACGTATCTTTCAGAGAGACGATGATGCTGACTTTCGTTACCCAGTTTTACTTCCCTCAGAACATCCATTAGTATTAAAACTGATCAAATCTGAACATGAAAGGCTAAGTCACGCTGGAGTACAATTCGTTATGTGCGCTTTGCGTGAAAAATATTGGATCATAAAGAGTAGGAAGACCGTACGCAAGGTTATCCAAAACTGTGTACGATGTCGAAGGTTCGACTCTGATTCATATAAGACTTCCTCAAGCGCCACTACCTGAAGACAGAATAAGAGATGCTTTAATTTTTGAGATTATTGGTGTTGATCTGACGGGTCCCTTAATTTTAAAAGGAGGCCAAAAAACATGGATCGTCATTTTTACTTGCGCAATATATAGAGCAGTTCACTTAGAGCTAGTCTCATCTCTATCAACCGAAAGTTTCCTGCACGCGTTCAGGAAATTCATCGACAATGGAACCAATTTTGTTGGATCAAATAATTTGTTTAAGACCATAGATTGGAATTCTATCTTAGAAAATGCAACAGTTAAGAAAATTGAATGGAAATTTATTCCCCCTTCCTCGCCATGGTGGGGAGGGTGGTGGGAAAGATTAATTGGAGTACTAAAGAGAATTCTTCGAAAGGTACTAGGAAAATCTTCTCTGAACTACGAAGAATTGTTGACAATCATTTGTGACTGCGAGAGCATTATGAACAACCGTCCTCTCACGTATTTGTCAGAAGACGTAAAAGGATTTAAGAGCTCTCACCCCAGCAATGTTTCTAACAGAAATTCCAGAGACTGGAGTTCCTGAATTAGATCTTTTGGATTCTAAATCCATCAATAAAAGATACCTTTACAGAGCCAAATTGAGAAAAGATTTACGAAAAAGATTTCGATCAGAATATTTAGGGCAACTAAAACAAAGCTCAAAATTCATCCGCGAACCATCTTCTGTGAAAGTTGGTGATCTTGTAATTGTGTCCAACAACGAAAAAAGGATAAACTGGCCCTTAGCTAGAATCGTGGAAATTTTTCCATCCCACGACGGACACATTAGATTAGTGAAGCTGCAAACTGCCCAAGGGGAGATTATGAGATTTACTAAGAACCTCATTCCTCTTGAACTCAAATTTACACCTGAGTCGGATATGAAAGCAAGGTACAGGACTCGACGTATAACGAAATATCAAAAGACTTAGATTATAGGTCAGTTGAGATCCATTCTTTGCTGATACTGCACCTCAAGGTGGGAGTATCATGTTTGTTTACTAATAACTTTGCTTCCACGAACGCCCTCTGGCGAAGAGACTAAAAGTAGTCAGTTGAACGGCTGACGCGTCTAACAGATGTATAACGATAGACCGTCTCCGTATATATTAAAATATAATGCTTGTAATCATTATAACTTGTAAATATTTTGTAGATATCTTTCATATGAATTAAAATTTCTTAAAAAGTTTATAGCTGTGTTTGCTGTGAATCGAAGTTCATCATAGAGACGGATATACCGAAGAAGGAAAGCAAGGCAGTTCAGGGCAGCCCTATTTAGAAGGTAAGTGAACTTTCACTTATCTATTTAATGATCAAAAAATTTTAACAATGATGCCAGTCACTAGAGTTAGATTGATAGTTATTGCCACCCATATGGGAGTAAATTGTATCCAGATGCCAACATACTTATTATAAGAAATATGATTTAAAATATTAATAAAAGATAATTATGTGATCCCTAAGTATTAATTAAGCCTTTATTAAAGAATTTTTTAATTACGCGCCAGTGCGTGATTGGCACTACATGTCAAAATTTTCCCCAAATGCCACGTTACGCGCTGGCACGTGGAATGTAAAAAATAAATTTAAATAAGAAAAATAAGTGGCAGTACGCATTATTTTTATATCAATATGTATTACAGACAATTACACATATTACAAAGGAATTTATAACAAGAAAATTACAAAGACATTATACAGATACATCTAGAATGTTATTTGTGTATTATCTTTGAACAATCTAAGCAATACCGGGGAGATCCTTCACAAAATTTGCAATATATTGTATCTTTACGTTTCCCTTTGGAATAGCAACTTTTGCATTGCTTTCTTAGAATTTTTCCTTCTTTTTTTTCTTCCCGTGTACTCAGCACATGTTCATATTCAGATTGAGCACACACAGGAGCACGAAGAACAGATGGCTGTTTCAGTAAACTTCGTATCACGGATAAATGGTAGTCATACAGTGATGTATTTTCATTGGAATACTTATTATAGATTAAGTGGGAATTGTTCATCATTATTTGCAAAATATACACAAATATTTTCGTGGGCCACCTGATTGTTTTTCTCTCACAAGGATAATAAGTAAGCATCTGATCTTGCTTATCAATACTGGCCATAAATTTATTATACTGAATTACAGGTAGAGGTTTCGATTTAATTTCACCTCTTTTGTTTGTTTGATGTGGTGGAAACCACATCATTTTTATATTCATTGGAAATGTAAGTGACGCCTCTCTTATCCTGTCACTGTGCAATCATCATACCATTAGCATACTTTGCCCTTTCTTCCGTTTTTTTCCCTTTACCTCTTTTGGAAATGTCTTTCTGTTCTTTCTGATTGTCCCAGTGCAATGAGTTTTCCTATCAGCAAGGCATTTTGACAGTTTCATAGCTCTGATAATAATTGTCCATAAATATGCTATGTCCTATATCCAGCATTCCCTCGAGTAAATTCATAACGAATTTTTTTGCATGTTCTTTTGCACCAGAATCATCCAACATGTCCGTATATATCATAAATTTCAGAACCATACCATCGGGAATTGTGATCATGTACAACTTGATACCATATTTGTGACGTTTATTTGCTATATACTGTCTGAAAATAAGCCGTGCACGCCACAATACCATCGATTCATCTAAACTAATCTCATGCCCTGGGTAATATATTTCAGATACTCCCGCGTTGAACAAATTCACCATATCTCTTACTTTATACAGTCCATCCTTTGGAAGCTCTGTATTCTGGTCTGGGATTTTTGCGAAGTGCAATGCCCTCAGTAACAACAAAAACCGATTCCTGCTCATATTTTCTGAAAATACACGTAAACCAAACAGTGCATCTGTTTTCCAGTAATCTAGTATATGGTTGATTCATATAGTTCCCATATGTATGATCAATCCCACAAATACCAAGTGTTCCTCTTTTGTGGTGCTCTTCCAAGCATTGATGCGAGAATGCTTCTTTTTCCCCTGCGAAAAAGTACTTTCTGAGCATAATCATTAGTTTCAGCATCTATTTCTTCCAAGACACCATCAGTGAAAAAATGACGAAAGAAATCTATAGGATTGTTACCTGAAACATGTTGGAGCAAATACTTGGATTTTATGAAAGGAAATTTTTTCATTGATGTTGAATCGTTCTCTCAAATAACGTTTTCCGCCATAGTTGAATCATCCTGCTGACATGCAGCTTCTTGCACGACTTATTCTTCATCTTTAGAATCCGAAATATCATGGGTACCAGTCGGAGGAACGAATTCTTCGTCACTGTCATAACTAAAATCGCTCTGGTACTCATCCGATAGCTCAGCCAACAAATTTGCTATTTCATTATCCGTAAAAGCCTTTTTTATATTGAACTTTCCTTTTTTCGTGCGTGAAGGCCCTGCATTATCATCTCTATAACTCATACTAAAAGATTATTTTTTCAATAAAAAGTAAAACAATAATTTCGAAACCGCAATTATTTATATGTAGTTTCTAATTTTCACTCCATGCCAATATCAGAAGAAATTCCCTGCATGCAATGCCAAATGAACTGGAGAATGAATAACAAGTATAGGATTTTTCCGCACCAGTGCGTGACTGGCTGCTGAGACATCACCCCACATCACGTGCTGGCTTGTGGTTGGCTGTTTGCTGATAACAAAAAGTCACGCGCCGGCACAGAAATATTTTTAACAAGGGCTGTTATGCTTGTGAAGAAGAAGTTATCAGTGGAAAAGCAACAAAATCAGCATTATCAGCTGTTTCATAGATCAAGTTATTATTGTTACATTTGAATTTTTTATATTACCATTAAACTATTGTTATGGAAAAGATCTGAAGCAGCAGTTTATAAGGATGTTAGAACTTTTACAGATAGGTTTTAATTAATTTTTTTGAATATTTTTCAGACTTTTTAATTGAAAATTCATTTTTAGCAACAAATAAAGGGCCATTCACACTGGAGTTTATCTGAGCTTACGGAGTCAGTTTCATGTGTCAACTAGCTCTGCTATGCCTGCAGTTCAGATTTTTCAATTTGATGGCCCTATGGGGGAAAACTGGTCTTGGAGATGGGTCGGTTACATCCGTTACGTGTCTCCGTTAGCTCAGAAAAACCCCAGTGAGAATGGCCTTTAAAAGTTGAAGGCCATACTTTTTAAGCCAGCATTTAAAAAGTGAAAAATAATTAATTTGAAGGTGTTGTAAAAATACATTATGCATAACTACCAAATATTAAGCTACATGGTTTCAAAATACCTCTAGATTTCCCTTAGGGACCTTTATAATACATCACTGGAATTTTTAAACTAGTTTCAACATGATGCTGACATAAAATATAACTGTAGCGTTGTGACCACGGCTAGCTGTAAAGTTGTTAAACAAAAGTGGTAAAATTTAACCCATACAAACTTTAACAGAAAGAATTTAATTAAACACAAACACTACATAAAGAAAGTTACATGACAAAACTAACAAGAAGTAACACAAAGAAATATTACTCAAATGAAAATAAAAAGTACATGTTCATAGTCCTCTGCTGAAACTCGAACTAGCTAGTTCAGGCGTAGATGTTTTTGAATAGCTTTCGATAAGGTGGTGCTGCAGTACATGGGGCTGTTTGCTAGCGTTCGTTACAGACTCCCTCTCGGGCTCTGACAACGTTCCGGCAAAGAGTCCGTGTTCGATATTTCAATTTTGCGAGGTCTGCCTCTTTTCCTTATGGGAGTCACTGGACATTGGTCTTTCGATGGAGGCAGTTATATGGTCTCATCATATTGGTATGATTTGCTACCGTTTGGACTAAGGAACGCAGCAGTAACTTTTCAGAGAGTAATGAATAATGCGCTGAAAGAATTTCAACAATTTTTAAGAGCCTATATTGACGACATAGCTATATTTTCCACGGATTTCGACACTCATCTCTAACATCTGGATAAAGTTTTCACCAAACTAAAGTCACCTGGATTTACTATCAATTTGAAGAAATGTTCATTTGCAAAACCTCAAATTAAATATTTAGGACACATTATTGGATCAGGAAAACATCAACCAGATCCCAAGAAAATAGAGGCAATCAAGAAGCTGGAAACGCCGAAAACAAAAAGAGATCTTAAAAGTCTGTTAGGATTATGTAATTAATATCATGATTATATCCCAGGGTATGCAGAGATCGCCTACCCACTCACAGAACTCACAAAAAATAAACAACCGGAAATACTCGAATGGAAAGAAATTCATGAGTCAACATTTCAACAACTGAAGGAACGATTAGCGATGTCAACAGAGTTGATCACCCCAACACTGCAGGATCCGTTTGTCATTCATTCTGATGCATCCCAAATCGGAATAGGTGCATGTTTATCACAGCAAAGGGGATAGAAACAATTTCCCATCTGCTACGCGAGCAAGAAATTATCGAAACCTCATCAAAGCTGGCCGACCATAGAGCATGATGCTTATGCTATAGTATGGGCATTGAAGAAGTTTGAACCTTGGATATTCAGTTTATCGGTGAAAATTGTGACTGATCCTAATCCTCTAGCCTTTATAGTGAGAAATGCTCTGCAATTGTCAAATTACAATGATGGGTCATAGCTTTGCAGAAATATAATCTCGAAATAGAACATTGCCCTGGAAAAAAACTGTTGAATGCAGATGCATTATCCAGACTCCCCACCTGTGAACTTTGAACATTAATTTACTGTTCATCTTCACGAACATTTTGTATAGTTAACGATTAGAGAGTTTTTCTTAACAATTTTAAAACTTGGTGCAAAATAAGATGTTTATGTAATTTGAAATAGATAGAAAAATTATTGGATAACAAATATTTGAGGTAAGTGATAAATTTAGATATTTGTCTCCCAAGGATATAAAATCATGTTGCAGCATCATTAATTAAAGCATCATTAATTAAGAATATAATTATATATATATAAAGCTTAATAATTTTACTGTCATCATTGAAATAATACTAGGATATATTTTAACATGTTTATAAAAGAATATCCACTTGGTTTCTTTGGGTTAAGAATTGATAAATTGTTACAATAATAATAATGTTCGGAACAGGTGAGGTTAAAAATGTGTTATCTATGTTTATATATCTTTATGTAGTCAATTGATGTACAACTGTAGCTATTACATTGCAAATATCTATAGTAATTGAGATTTGAATATTAGGGTAGAATGTATCCTTTTTCTCCTTGATCGCAAACAGTTGCTAGATTTTAGTTTCCAGATTGCTGATTGATTTGCAAATAATATCAACAACAATCTTACGATGCAGGTGTGATATCTGGCGACTGTTTGGCGATCAACAGAGCATGCTTGGTGCAGGTAGCTCTTCTCCAAGAAGGGTTAATGTATTTGAAGATAGTTGTATGTTAGCCTCGGGAGAGGAAGGTAGTAGATTGTACAATGCTGTAGGAGCGACGTACTGCTCTGAGTTACTGTTATGCTTTGTATCCCATTTGCCTAATAAATGTTCGTTTCGTCTTGCTAAATACTGTGTTATTAAACCACGAAGCCATTACAACAGTACCTAACATTTGATCAGGAGTAGCAGGATCTGCAATGTCATATGTTGTGGGAGATCTGTTTGTAATCACTAGATACGGACCTTCGTGTTTAGGCATAAATTTACTTTTCTTGTGTATGGATTTACTGGATGTATAGTTATCCATACATTATCACCAGGCTGATAGTAAGTTTGTCTATGTCTTTTATCAAAGTATTCCTTTCTTTTGTCTTGTTTTTGTTCGACACGCTCCCTAATTTGAGGTGTCAAACGAGCGAATTCTTTCAGATACGGCGTAATTTAAGAAACAAAGTTGTTGTTTTCAATAAGTGGTCTTAAATTTTGTGATTAACGTCATGTGTCGTCCTAAGTTCTCTTCCGAACTGCAAATAAGCAGCGGTATTACCCGTAGTGTAACATATTGCATATTCATGGCAAAACGAATCATGGGCAGTTTTTCTTCCCAAGTATCATGAGTATAGCTAGTTTGGCTATACTCATGATACCGACTAGTATAGCTAGTTTGGGTTTTAAATGTCTGTTCTTTTGTTCGGAGGGATTCGCTTGAGGGTGATAAACAGGAATAAGTTCTTGTTTAATACCAAGGAAGTAACAGGTTTGCTGCATTACCGCACTAACAAATTGCGTGCCATTATCACTAATCAACCTACTGGGTAAACCATAACGTAAAAAAAAAAACTTCTTCAATTAAAATTTTTGCACAATTTTCGCAGTGGCTTCTTCTAAGGCGAAGAGCTCTATCCATTTCGTAATAAGAAATATAATAATAATCAATAAGAAAAATTAATTTTTCCCTAGTTGGGGTTCCTGGAAGTGGGCCAAAAAGGTCTATAGCAAGTGTTTCAAACCATTGTGCATATACAGGTGTTCGAAGCAATCCAGCAGGTTTCTGGTTATTTGGTTTATACCGATTGCACTCAGCACAATTTTTCACGTATTCTGAGATATACTTTCTCATACCAGGAAAGTAATACCTGAAGGCAATCTTATGGTACGTACCTTCAGCTACACAATGTCCTGCAGTGGGGGGATCGTGATACTGCTGTAGGACTCGTTGCTCTTGACAAGGGACAACTAACTGAGCCTCTTCAGAGTCTGTGTCGGAAGAGTAATGATACAAAACTCCTTGATTCACGAGATATCCTCTACTAGTCCAATTTACATAATTTTCATCTTTTTTGCAACTCTCAAAACAGTCTATAATTTTCCTTACATCTTCATCTTTCATTTGTTCCTCACGAATGTCTTTAGATTTGCGGGATGGTAAATCTATAGAAACAGCATTTAAATCACAAACAAAGTCATTGTTTGCATAAGATGGTCTAGAAAGAAGGTCTGCTATAACTTTGGATTCCCTGGAGTGTAGACAATTTTTGGATGATATGACTGGATTTGAAGGGCCCATCGAGCCAAACGACCAGATGGTGATTTAATACTCATTTAGCCATTTAAGAGGATGGATGGTCTGATGCAATTATTATTTCTTGGTTTTTTATATAACCGCGGAACTTCTCAAGAGCCCAAACTAATGCAAGAGCTTCTCTCTCGGTAGTTGAATAATTTCTTTCTGCTGAGTTTAACAATTGACTTGCATACTCAATCACATGTTCCTCTGGGCCTTCTCCTTGGATAAGGACTGCTCCTAAAGCATAGTTACTTGCATCTGTCCTAATGATGAATGGTTTAACACATTGTCCAATAAGTCCCGTAACTAAGAAAACAACATCCATTAAAAAAATTCACATTTATTCATCAACATAATCACCATGAAGAGCTATGCAATCATTCCAAGGCTTTTCTAACTTTTCGATAATATGCTTGTTAAACGTTCGTCCTTGTCCGCAAAATAAGCTTCAGTGGCAGCGATGAGTTCCTTATTTAAGCCAAAATTTTTCGCCTGGAACATCTTTTTGAAATCAACAAACAGCCAGTAGTCACTGTGGACTGGGTCTGGGGAGTATAGTGGGTGGGGAGGAAGAGTGAAGCCCAACTCGTTCAATGTAACCAGTCTTTGCATTGACTTGTGGCATGGGGCATTGTCTTGACTGAAGATGATTTCTTTTCTTTATGTGCAGTCTTTTTTTTTTTGTGATTTTGTCCTTCAGGTGCATCAATAACTCTTTGTAATAGGCGCTATCGATAGATTTTTCCCTTTTCAAGGTAATCAATGTAAATTTTTCCTCGTGCATCCCAAAACACAGACGCCATGACTTTGCCAGCTGATTGCTGCGTTTTTGGATGCTTCAGATTGCTTTCACTATCTGCACGGGACTGACTTCAGAGTGAAATAGTGGATTCATGTTTCGTCTATTGTCACATATGGACGCAAGAAATCCTGTTTATTGTGAGTAAACAGTGACAAACAGTTCTGTGAATCATCGACTTGCTGTTGCTTTTGTTCCATTGTGAACACATGCGGCACCCATTTGGGAAACACTTTTTTCATTCCCAATTTTTCATGTAAAATCATACACGTGTTTCCAGTTGATATGTTTACCATCTCAGCAATCTCACAAACTCTCACTTTGCGGTCATTCATCACGGTTTTCAACACTTGTTTGACATTTTCCGGAGCGACTGCTTCATTTGACCTACCCATTTGAGTGCCGCATCATTTGTATCCGTGCGACCGTGCTTGAAATCAGCATACCAACGGCAAATGCTTCTTTTCGATGGAGCAGTGTATGGATAACATTTTTCAAGCCATTGCTGAGCTTGCACAGTATTTTTGCCCATTAAATAGCAATGTTGATCAACACTCGAAATTCGTTTTTCTAAATTCTGTCTACCAAATGCACAAGTAGTGTCACTTTCACCCCAGTAGCTTCGCTGTTTCTGGTCCGAATGTCTTGAAAATTAGACATGTGTCATTTGAAGGTTAGTTCTTTCGAACAATGAAGTCAAGTCGATATTGCTAAAACCATCTTTTGGTTAGTCCCGGGACTTATTGAACAATGTGTTAATTCCGTCAGGTTGAGATAACACAGGTGGTGAAATCAACCTTTTTTTCAACTCTTCAAATGCTTTTTGTTCGGTTTCAACGCATGTCCACTGTTTATTCTTTTTGGTTAAGTCACTAAGGGGTCTAGCAACATCTGAAAAATTAGGGACATATCTTCGGAACCAGGAACACGTCTGTAGGAAAGACTGAACTTCATTTACGCATGTTGGTTTACGAATTTTCTGAATGGAAGATACTTTCTCGGCATCTACTTTCTATACTGTCTTCTGTAATCCAATGACCTAAATACTTTACTCTGTCACAAGCAAAATGGCATTTGCTCTTGTTAGCATTTAGTTTAAACATAGAAAATCTTTCAAACACTTTCCTCAAATCTGATAAATGTTTATCAAATTTTTCTGATAACACTATGATATCGTCGAGATAGGACAGGGCAAAAACATCTTTTAACTCTGATCTAAATTTATCAATGAGTCGTTGAAAACTTGCAGGCGCGTTCCGCAACCGAAATGGCATTCGCAAAAACTTGAAAGTGCCAAATGGACAAACAAAGGAAGTTTTCTCTTGATCTGCCTTCATGAAATTTAGCTTGATGATAACCTGCTCTTAGGTCAATGGTAGACACATATTTCGTTGATTTGGCTTCAGTTAGCAAATCATCCATTCTTGGTAATGGATAGGTATCTGGAACAGTTTGGGAGTTTAATTTTTGATAATCTATACACAGTCTGATAGAACTATTAGGTTTAGGGACCAACACAACAGGACTCGCATAGGGTGATTCGCATTCCTCAATGATACCCTGAGTTAGTAAGGAATCTAGCTCCTTTTTTAACAACTCTTTCTTCACGGGTGTCATTTTATATGGTGACTCAGCAACAGGTAAATTATTTCCAGTCTGGATTCTGTGCTCAATATAAGGATTTCCATCAGCCAGGGGGTCTCACCCTGGCTGAAAGCTAATTTTATACTCTTCTAACAATGAACTTAATTTCTTCTGTTGTTCTCTCGTCAAATGTTTTCCTTCATCATCTCTCAACTTCACAGACTCGGTTGCTTCTGGTATTGCAATAGGAGTGTCAGCAGACCTTTTTGTTTCTGGAGCTGTTACTTTCAGAGATGTTAGTACGTTTTGAGTCTCTTTAGCTTCAGATGGTTCAATGTAAAAGGGATACTGCTTCTGTGGATTTTCACTAAAATACCAAATGCCATTCTAGATGTTGAGCACTTATTCCCGCAGCCTGTAGAAAATCAGTTCCAAGTAACGTCCTGTTACCTTTTGTTTTTGACAAAGCAATAAATTTCATACGTATTATCTTTCCTTCAACATTAAGATTTACCACTGTAGTCAAAGCTTGAACATTTCTTTCCTTGCCATCAGCTAGTACCATCATAATATTTGTTGTTTTAAATCCAAATCCTCGATCTCATAACAACTTATAAAATCTTTCTCCTGCAATAGAATTCGATGTCCCTGTATCAGCGCAAAAAGCTGCTTTTTCTCCACAAAGATTTAAAAAAAATGGAATTGGACAGTAGATCGGATGATTCAACTGCATACAATTTTACACAATTGATGACAGTTTTAACTTCTCCTTTTAACTTATTACACTTAGGGCACTCTGATTGTATGAAACTGGGATATCCACAACCATAGCAACGAATAGAAGTTTTCTTTTCTTCTCTAGAATTAGTAAATTTTGAATTGTCAACGTTTGTATTTTTAATCTGGTTAACATTTTTAGGATTACTAGTTTTAGATTTTCCTTCTGGAACAAATTTAATATTTTCTTTACAATATGGTTTCTTTGCACTAGAAGATCCATCTTTCTTCATGCCAAGTCTTACATTTTCATGTAATCGAGCTTTTCTGCGAGCTCCAACGGATTGTTCATTTCTGATAAACTGTCCACAAAATATTCTCCTACCTCGGAAGGTGTTCTTTTCTTTATTTAATCTGCAATGATCAAGTTCTGTAGCTGCTCGAAACTATAGATATTCAATTCTTTAATCCATCCTTCAAAATAAGATTTCAATTCAAAAGCAAAAAGTCCTTCCCAGTAATTTCTGCAGACTTTCTATGCTGAAAAAAACATTTGTCGAAACCTATCAGCTGTGAGGCTATATTGTTTCAAAAGCATAGCTTTTACTTTTGCATAGTCTTTAGAATCCTCTTCATTTTCTCTAACAACTAATTGATTTATTTCAGATGGTAATGATCCAATGAAGTATGGGACCCAATCAGTTTCAGGTATATTTACGAACTTCAATTGACACTCATACATGGTCAGATAAAGTTCTATCTCATCTTCCTTTGGGTTAAAATTTGGAAGAATGCGACTCAAATCAAATTTAGATTGATCTATTTGAGAAACAGATTCCTTTGGCATATTCTTATTAACTTCAAGTTGGAGTTTAAACTTTTCTAATTCAAACTGGCGTTCCTTGGCTAATCTTGCTTCTACTGCTTCTTTTTCAGCCGTATCTTCTGCTTCTTTTTCGGCTTTTACGCGTTCATTGAATATGTTACTTAACATATTTTTTGTAAATTCTTCATCATAGGTTTTAGAACTCGTTATCAGATCTCGCAATTGCACAACTTTTAAGTTATCTGCAACTTGTAATCCAAGTTCTAAAGTTAGTAATTTAAGGTCCTCTTTGCGGCCTTTGCCTAAATACGCCATCTCGAAGGGGATTCATGTAAAGTTTTTTCTTTAAATACACTGGTTATCATAAATTACGGAAAAATTACAAAAATAGCGATAACTCCCTCAAAAATAAGCCAAACCGTTTAAAATTTGAATATGTTGCTAAGTAAGAGTAGCTGAGTAAAACTCCAATATGCAAATTAGTGGCGCTGCACTCAGAATACGTAATCTGTGAGGAGCATAAAAGTCCCAGTTTGAGAGCAAGCCCACATATTTCACTGTGATAGTGACATCAGAAATCTGAGATAGCCAATTCTTAACAACGATCAGGCATCATTTGCCTGCAGAACTACGATAGAAAGCCATTGGGAGACTAGAGGCAGGACAAAAACAAACAGAAGTGGCCATATGGCTAAATGTGAGTCCTTCTGTGGTTCATAGACTTTGGAGGCAATTTCAAATCACAGATTCGGCACCTAGGAGGTTCAGCCAGCTGCTAAGACGAGCGCCGATGACCGATATTTGACATTATGTGCACTCAGGAATAGAACCGCTACTGAGACTCTTCTTAGATACTTCCTTGCTGCAGCCACCAGAAAGTTTGTGTCAACGTCAACTGTGCATAGAAGGCTTTACGAAGGTGGTCTGTATGCAAGGCGAACAACCATTTGTGTGCCGCTCAAGTCACGGATAGGAGGGACCGTTTGCAGTGGCTCATAGGAGGGACTGTTTGCAGTGGGCATGAATACATGTCTACTGTACGCCTGAGCAATGGAGGGCTGTTCTCTTTATGGA